ATATATTGTAGCCAAAAGTGATGAAGACTAGAAGTCTCACTGTTGGTATAGTCAGTTACAAAGCCAGTGCACTTTTGTGTGATCCAAACACTTGAAGTTGTCAGAGAAGGTGGGGCACCTGGCTGGCCCAGTCAGTAGAGTGTAGGACTCTTGATCTCAGGGTTGTGAGTTTGAGCCCCACACTGGGTGTAGAGACTACTTAAAGTTGTCAGAGAAGGTACTATTATGCCCATTTTCCCGATAATCAAATTGCAGATCTAAATCTCCCAAGGCTCATTGGCAACGGGGCTCCAGCTTCAAGCTGTGAGGTTGTCTAACTACATCACTCTGCTTTTATTCTCTTTTCCTTTCATTTTATTTTTTCTTTCTTTTTTAAAATATACATAAAGTTATCTCTACACCCAATGTGGAGCTCAAACTCAGGACCCCAAGATCAAGTCACAAGCTCTACTGACTGAGCCACCCAGGCACCCATCCTTTCATTTTCTTTAGCTGAATGAATGTTTTTGCAGCTCCCCAACATGCTGTACGTGTGGACCCCTTCCAGGAAGAAAAAAAAAGGAAGATTTCACAGTTGGAATGGGACAGAAGTTCGCCGAGCCCTGTTTTAGGAGAAATCAAGATTTGATCACCCTCTACTGGCTAAGCATAGTGATGGCAGCAAAAAGAAGCCGTGGTGAGAATGAGCAAGGAAGATCCAGAGAGTCACCATTTTAGGGACAAACTTGACCACCATGCTGCTGGTAGGGAAGGGAGGAAGCTAGAGCCCACAGTAACCAGTGGTAGCTTTTCCCCTTCTGGATTTCTGCTACAAGGAGAGGGAATGCTTTTTCTTTTTCAGGCCAAATAATCTTTCAAGCAAAAAAGAACTGGATAATGTAGAGAAAATGGGAGAGTATGGAGGTCATTTAGGAACCATGGACCTTCAGAGGGCCCTCGGTCAGTTCAGACATTTTACATTCCAAGATTCAGAAGCAACTTTCAGATCATGGAACTGTTGTAAGTGATCGCTGGGACATGATAGATTTTAAATATTTTGAAGGGCTGGCAAGAAGAACAACTACATTTTGTGAGATAAAAGGACCAATCAAAACCAGGGTTGAAATTGTAGGAAAACAGATTTTTGCTTTAATGTAAAGAAATTTCAGCAATTAGAACGTCCCAAAAGGAGGGAAACTGTTCTCTAAATGAGTAAGCTCCCCGCCATGTAAATGGTTAGAAGCAGAGGGCTGTTCACAGAAAGAGTGTTTGCACGTTAACAAGACGCTAGTCTGTGGTTGCCTACGATGCCTTATTCAGGCACCATTTATTGGTCTCATCTCTATTTTCATTGACCACATCTGCAATTATTTGCTTACATATCTGCCAAGAACTGTATTTTTCATTTTTTCCTTGTGCTTTAATACAATGGCTGACACATTCTTGGTATTTGTCAAATGAATTCACTGGAAAAGTATGAGGTTCTTGGAAATCAAAACTGTTCTGAAGAGGAAATGCAGGTGACACACCACAGTGAGCCACCAGTCAAGTTGGCTAACTTTTCCTTTGCTCTCTTGTGGTTGTGCTATAGTTATTTTAATGGAAGAAAATAATGACTCACCCTAAGTTAATTTGCTTTAATAAAGTATGATTTGCATGGATAGCCTGTTGATCTTCCTAATGCTTTTTAAAAAAAAATTTTTTTTAAAGTTTATTTAGTTTGAGAGAGACAGAGTACATGTGTGTCAGAGAGGGACATAAAGAAGGAAAGAGAGAGAATCCCAAGCAGGCTTAAGTCAGTCCAAAGCCCAACTCGGGCTTGCTCTCATGAACCGTGAGATCATGACCTGAGCCAAGATCAAGAGTCAGACACTTAACCTACTGAGCCACCCAGGCAGCTCTATCATCCTAATGCTGTTTTTAAAAACCTGTTGAGATAGGGGCACCTGGGTGGCTCAGTTGGTTGAGCATCCGACTTCTGCTTGGGTCATGATCTCATCGTTCATGAGTTCGAGCCCTGCATTGGGCGCACCGCTGTCAGCACAGAGCCTGCTTTGGATCCTCTGTCCCCCTCTCTCTCTGCCACTCCCCCACTCACCCTCTCTCTCAAAAAGGAGAGAGAGAGATTAATAATAAACATTAAAAAAAAAACTTTTGAGATATAGTAAAGACACAGCATTGAATTAGAGAATCTGTATTCTACTCTCAGCTCCACTACCAACTAGCTCACTAGTGTGGCTTGGATATGATTTCTCCAGGCATTGGTGTTTTGTTTTATTTTTGGTGTTTTTTTTTTTTTTTTAACGTTTATAGAGGGAGATAAAGAATCCAAAGCAGGCTCCAGGCTCCAAGCTGTCAGTGCAGAGCCTGATGCGGGGCTCAAAGCCATAAACTGTGAGATCATGACCTGAGCCAAAGTCAGACAGTTAGCTGACTGAGCCACCCAGGTGCCCCAGCATTAGTTTCTTCATCTGAAAACAAGAGCATAACCAGATTATCCTTAAGGTCTATTTTGGCATTAATATTTTCCAACTCTGGGCCCCTTTGCTTTAGACAGAGCAACAGGCTTGGAATTGGAAGGATTTCCTTCAGGCCCCAACATCACAGCTCACTGGTTGCATGGCTAGGCAAAGATCCTTTTGACTAAGAGACTGGATTGAGCACGACCAAGACATCAACATGCATGTGGCTCATGGAATTGTGCAGGTTTCCTGGTTTTCCTCTAGTGATTCTGTTCCCTTCAACCATCTCTTATTCCTCCAGTCTAATTCAGAGGCAGTAGAATATTTAAAAGCACAGGCTTTGGAGAAAAGAGCCAAGTGTGAATCTTGACTTTCCAGCAGATCACTTGTATGACACTGGTCAAGGTACTTACTTTTCTGAGCCCCAGTTTCCTGATCTGTAAAACAGAGATTTCAATATTTCACAGGGATAAGTATTCTCAGGTCTATAATATTTCATAGGATTGATATAATGAAGATAAATGTGTATAGTAGATTGTTCCCCAAAATAGTCACATTATATCCCATCCCACATACTCTTTCAAAATGAAATAGAGAAATTTCTTTCACCAAGGAATAAAGTCTGTCTTCTTCCCCTTGAATCTGGCCCAGTGGCCTGTTTAATTTTTTTAAATGACTTATTTATTTTTGAGAGAGAGAGAGAAAACAGAGGAGGGGCAGAGAGAGAGGGAGACACAAAATCTGAAGCAGGCTCCAAGCTCTGAGCTGTCATCACAGAGACTTATGTGGGGCTTGAACTCACAAACTGCAAGATTATGGCCTGAGCCAAAGTCAGACACAACCGACTGAGCCACCCAGGTGCCCCTGCACACAGTGGCCTGTTTAAACAATCTAATATGGTAGAAACGATGCTGTGTAACTTCCAAGGCTGGGCTCTAAACACCTGCAAGTTCCACCCTGACTTCTTAAAATGCTCCTCTTGGGGAAGCCAGCAGTCATGTCATGAGGAAGCCTGAGCAGCCATGCAGAGACACTCACATGGAGGAGCACGGAACCCCCAGGCCAACATCCCAGCAGAGCTTCCAGTCTGTGGGCCAGCCCCAACCACCAGCCATCCCAGTCCCTTAGGACACCACAGGAAGCAGAAGAACCCAGCCAATTCACAGATTTGTGAGATCAAATGAGAAATGATAACTGTTGTGTTAAGTCACTAAGTTTTGAAGTAGTTTTTAATGCAGCAATAAAGAAGTGAAACCAAGTGCTTAACAGTACCTTGCCCATAGTAAGTACTCTAAGGAGGTGTATGGAGGGGATGGTAATGGTAAATGTTGTGAAAGGGTTTGACATTAAGGGAAAAACTAACAGGAGTATGGAGCAAGCTGTATGAAGATATTAAAGGTGTTCTCCACATTCCTAGGGGCTCCCCCACCTCTTCAAAACAGCACAAGATGATACAGGAAGTGGCCATCCTTACATTGAACTTTTCTATCATTTCCATTCATTGATCTTAGTACTGAATTCCGGGGTCCCCTAAGACAAATTTCTTTTGGAAATGACAACTCTTTGTATTTGAAAACTACGACTACTTTGTCCCTCATTCTCCCCTCCTCTTCTCCTACCTAAAGTAAAGGAAGGAAAAATTCTTCAGATTCTCTCTGGTCAAATTAGGTATGGTGTTCAGCCCTCACACCCTCCGATTTGTTCATTTCTGGATGACCATTGGCTTTTGGTGCCTGTAACAGGTGGTGTCGAGAACCCACCCATCTTAGATGTCTGACCAATGCATGTGGGAAGGAATGAATGAAACAAGACTGACCATGGGATAACTGTTGACACTGGCCAGTTGGTACATGAAGGCCCACTGTCATCCTCTCTACTTTTGTCTTTGAAAATTAAAATTTTTTAATGATCCTAGAAAAATAGGGGGAAACGCTGTCATGTTTCTGTGAAGTTATGGTGCATTTAATCAGGGATTTCGTGTTCAGGGATGTTGCTGTCCTTCAGTATGTGTACCTTTTGAGGAATCAGGCAAAAGCAAAATCAATGGGGGCTGGGAAGGGGGTGCCGAAAGAAACATTGAGAATCAAGCCTGAAATCTGCAGGAGCAGCGGGAGAAAAAGGTAGGCAGAAACTTCTTTAACCAGTCCTGCAGCATCAGGAGCACTTAGAGGGCAACCTCCGAGATTTCTGCTCAGGAAACTTAGAATCCGCAAAAGCCCCAAAGGCACGGCGACTTAGATTGATGCCACCGTGACCCAGGTCCGAGATTGATCACTGAATCTCTGACTTCGTGGGCCAAGCGTGCGGCTCCGTGTCCATAAACGTGGGCCGCGTTCTCACGAGACGACGGGCTCAGGTCTCGGGCGAACGGGTTCTGAAGTCCACGAAGGGACCGAGGTCGCTGCGTAGTGGAGCGACCTCGCCCGTCCCCAAGACGCCAAAACCCCCAACTAACCAAGACACCGAGAGGCAGAGACGACCTCCCCCCGGTCCTAGAGGGACCGCTACGGCCCCTGACAACTCCCGCGGGGGGCGGGGTTCTGACGAACTTCCGGCTGCGCCGGCCGCGGGGTGCGTCGAGGCACCAGCGCTTCGAGCGGCCCCAAATCCGGTGAGTCTTTGGATTCCTGGTTCGCGTAGCTGCGGGAGAGGGAACCTTGGGTGAAAGGGTTCGGAGAGGGAAGAGGGGTTGAGCAGCTGTGGCCTCTGGAGAACCCCCCAGACCGGTCCTGGGAGGGCTGTGGGGAGGAGCTCCGTGCTCCTACCCAGCTAAGCTGGTGGAGGCTCGTCCTCGCCTTTTCCTGCCCTCCCCGGCGGTTTCTCAGATAAACTGCTTCTTTCGCGTTCCAGAGCAGATTTTCTGTGCTCTCCCTGAGACGGGCCCTTAGTCCGTCGGACCCGGGCTGCCTTCTCTTTTTTCCTTGCTCTTAACAGGAAGTCCGAACTCGGGGCTAATTGATGAGAACATGTCTGAGGGGGTTGGGGACCTGCGGTGGGAAACCCAGCCTCATTAGAAGTCCCGGGTAGCTATTGATCCACGAGAGGGAATAGTTCCGTTGGGCTTTGTTCAGATTAGAAAGCACATACACAGTAAGGATCTGCTCGAGTTTGGAAACACATTTCTAGGTTACCATTTATAAATAGTTTCTCGAGAGGAAGGCGATCTGGTGGGTGAGGTCCTTGGAAACCTATGTAATATAAAGGAAGAGTTGAAAGAACTGTGAAGGAAAGAGTCAAGAGGCAAAGCAATTGTTTTCAGCGATTGGGGGGCTGCTATGCAGAAAGTTAAGTACTGTACAGTAGAATTCCATGCCTCAAGAATTAACCATATTTGCCTGCCTGCGAGTTTTCAGGTACACAATGTGTGTGTTAAAAGCATTCTAGGGGCGCCTGGGTGGCGCAGTCGGTTAAGCGTCCGACTTCAGCCAGGTCACGATCTCGCGTGTCCGTGAGTTCGAGCCCCGCGTCAGGCTCTGGGCTGATGGCTCGGAGCCTGGAGCCTGTTTCCGATTCTGTGTCTCCCTCTCTCTGCCCCTCCCCCGTTCATGCTCTGTCTCTCTCTGTCCCAAAAATAAATAAAAAAACGTTGAAAAAAAAAAAAAAACATTCTAGCAATAGTTGGTAAGTACCATTAAATTGTTATCATCTATTTTAATTTGGTTTATTTATGCCTCATCTTGTTCCGGAATGGGTTTGGGGCACTTCTATAAGAGAGTATAAGTTTTGGGAAATTGGCATAAAACAGGGGGAAAAAACCACCTGGGAACAAGAACAGTTCCCTTCTGGTTATAGTAGACCATAAACTTTTGCTTGATGAGCCTCTTGTGCTACACATTCTAGATAGTCTAAAGAAAGTAGTTCACTGTGGTTGAAGACAATCTGAATTAGTAATGAAACCTCCTCTTTTCTACCCACATGCTTTTTTTATTTTATAAATACTGTATTAAGAAAAACTCAGAAGCCAGGGCACCTGGCTGGCTCAGCCACTGTAGCACAGGACTCTTGATCTCAGGGTTGTGAGTTCAATCCCCACGTTGGGCATAGAGCTTATGATACATAGATAGATAGATAGATACGCAGGCATAGAGTTTATAATAAATAAATAAATAAATTAATTAATTAAAAAGAAAAATTCAGAAGCCATGACCTGGAGGGCATCCCGAGATGAAACTTTAGGCAAACTCAGCATGACCAAATGTGAAATAACTGGCTTTGCTCAAGGGAAAAAAAAAATTACAACAGAGCATTACCAGGTTTTTAAAAAGTCTTTGCCAGTCCAATAGATGGAAGCATTTCATTGCAGCTTTAATTTCCATTTCTTCTGTTGTAAATAAGGTTAAGCATCTTTTCATGGATTTATTACTAAGCTGAGATTTGAAAGACAAAAAGAAGTTTGTCTGAGAATTGGGCATTATCAGTGCATTGGGAATGAGCAGGGAAGCAATGAGACAGAATGAAGAGGCAGAGGCCAGGTTGTGACTTTTGTCTGCCATACAGAGAAGTTAATAAAATGGTTGTTAAGAGCAGGGTCATATGTGCAGATCTGTATTCTAAACCTCTGCTGGTACTAGACTTTTAATGTGTGAAACTTGATTTTTAGAGGAGGCATCGTCAGGGGTCAAGGGCAGGCTGCCGCAAGATGGGGCACTTTAACTTTAGCACAAACATTATTTTGAGTTAAAAGCAATTGAAACCCAGCAGATTCAGGAAAGGCTCTTTACCTTCCCCCTCAAGTGCCTGCCTACACCAGGAAGAGAGCTATTAATGAGATTGCGTTTTACCTAAGAAACCTGCATAATAGGGCACCGTTTGTTTTCCTAACATCTCCTCTCACCTCTCTTTTGGTCTTCCTCATCTTTGTATCCTCAGACCCCTTTCCTTAGCTCAGGTTGTTATTTAAGGCTCCATGTTGCCTCACTGCCTTTGGGATTTCATATCTATGTGGATTCCCTGTACACACAAAACTAAATTTGATGGGGGCACCTGGGTGGCTCAGTCAGTTAAGCGGCCAACCTCGGCTCAGGTCATGATCTCACGGTCCGTGAGTTCGAGCCCCGCATCGGGCTCTGTGCCGACAGCTCAGAGCCTGGAGCCTGTTTTAGATTCTGTGTCTCCCTCTCTCTGACCCTCCCCCGTTCATGCTCTGTCTCTCTCTCTCTGTCTCAAAAATAAATAAATGTTAAAAAAAAAAAAAACAAAAAACACACTAAATTTGATGTTCTCCTGTTAAAAAAAAATTTTTTAAGGTAAGCTCTACACCCATCATGGGGCTCAAACTCACATCCCCGAGACCCTCTTCCTACTGAGCCAGCCAAGTGCCCCTCGATTTTTCTTTAAACAAACACACAAACACGCCTCTGCTGGTAGCCTTTGAGCCTGTGGAATTGGAGTTGCCAAACTGGAAAATGGCCTGTGCAATTTCAAAGGAGGAAAAGACTATTGTAACATCAACTAGTCAAAAGTGTTTGATGTGGGGAATAAGTTTAAGAATTCTCTGTGCTTGCACCAATGGGTTAGCAAGGCTTAGGGTGGAAAGCCACCAGAGGGGGAAAGTGCCCAAAGCCAGTCATTAAGTAAGACAAAGCATAGAGGCAGAAAGCCCTGGGTGAAAGAGTCTAAAGTTAGCTGGGCTGAAGAGTGCCTTGTTAACCCTGAGGTTGCAAGCTCAAGCAATCTTAAACTTTGGAGATAACAGCTAATTGGCTAAATCACCTACAGAAAAACATTTTCCATCTGCCGCCAGTATATCATTGTGCTTTGATCTCAACTTCAAAACGCAGCTTGCCCCCCAAACCCTTTGCTTCTTACACAAGTTAATGGTCACTATCTGATCATTTCCTTCCGCACGTTTACCACATATGTAAAATCTTGAGAGCTCAATAAATACAGAGGTGAAACCCCTGTTCTGGGCTCTTGTCTCCTCCCTGACATTAGCCTCTCGTATTCATTTCTGTGTCTGCTCTCTTGCTGGACAAGAGAGAGCTCCAGACTCAAAAGTCTGTGACAGTTTGATAAAAGTAAAAGTAAGCTTTGTGATATGTTTAAAATAGATCTGCTAGAAACTTTATTTCATTATGCCAGTATTCTAATAATTGTTGAATGAGAGTCAGACATTAATTATTGTTCCTAGAGACAAAGCAGGTACCTTTTATTTATTTATTTATTTATTTATTTATTTATTTTTTTTTAATTTTTTTTTTTCAACGTTTATT